CCACTGACGCAGGTCGTTGTGCAGTCCTGCAGCTGCTGGTGGCAGGGGACAGCAGGGTGACAACTGAGATGGCAGCTCAGGTGTGTAACAGTCACAGAGAAGGGGCTTCAGCAGCCCATTGTCTTCACTCTCTCCCACTCAGCTTCTTCAGAGTGCAGCAGTCAGAACGTAACCTGATCGAGGATAAGAGTGAACAGCTTCATGTTACAGCAGATGGATCATTTCTGCCTTGGGATGGGAGGTTTTGGGGAATGAAAAGGTTGGCCTCTCCATTCTCTGGATCTGTCGTGAGCAGCAAAGTTCAAACAGACTTCGCCTTGACTCCGCTCTTGGAATACCAGAAACACGCAGGCGGCACAAGGCCAGTGTAAATAAATCGCACCTGACTCTGTGAGAGCCTCTTTGTGCCTTTACGGAGTGGGGTAATATAAACAGGCAGCGTTACAAGCAGAATGGACAGTACTTCCAGCATAAATATTTCCTGACCTTATGGGTCCCCTCTGGGAAATGAGCAGGGAGAGCATTAAAAAGGGCAGAGAGGAAAAGGGAGAAGGTCTGTGTCAATTCCCTGTTTCTGCTGGGAAGCATGGTGGAAAACTGATGTTACTCGGCCTCTAGAAGAATTCACTTGAAGATTGGGTGCAACTTGTAACCAGCTCTGTTTTGAGCAAGGTGACACTAGGTTGATGGAAGGCTCTTTCATTTTTGGAAGCCAAAAAGCTACATTTGATGATGATTAAGAGTGCTGGACATGATGTTGTGGAACCAGTCAAGGATTTCAGGGACAGCTTTATCACTTGTCCGCCAATTTACAGGAAGGCCACGACAGGTTAAATTGTTTGTCACCTCTGCCTGATGAGGGCATCACACATTGCCTGCCTGTTCTCCTTCTTGTCTGGTAAAACCCTGGACCCTCTCTGGAGCATCTTACTCTCTTCCTAACGAAGACTTCTGGCAATGCCATGCAGCAGGTTGACCTCAGTGTATTCTAGAACAAGTGGCTTGCAGCTGGGGGACCAGAGGGTGAAGTACTATTACAGAATCTTGCATATATACGACTATAACTGTAACAAATCTTATTATGCCATTAATTCATGAACTGCTGATCAACTTTTTTAAATGTGGAAATGATCAACCAAGTAATCTCTTGCAAAGCTGTCTTTTCCACCTACTTAAAAAAATCCTTAGAGTGATGCAGTGATAAGGAGAGGGTAGCAGAAATACTCTGTTGAAGAACTTGATCAACTTAGCACCGCTGTCTTTGGATAAATCTCCCTCACAGAGTTCTGCCAGAGCAAAGCCTTTCTTCCTCAGGGATTAAGCAGGTTTTAAAATGAGTATCAACAATCACTTGATGAGCTCCAAAAGGAAAGTTAGGAAATTTAGCTTATGCTACTGGCCTAAGTCAATAGTTTAATTATCACGTGCTAAACCAATTCATATAACCTTGATTTCCCTAAGAGAGCCTTATGGAGGTAATCTGAAATCTACTGTAGCATAATGCTCTTCAAGTTTTCTAGGAAAAACAAAATTGCCATTCAAATCTCATGCTTAACTGATTTTGTAAGGATTCAGCTTTATTTTGGCCACACAGTGCCACAGAGCATGACCTGGGTAGCTCCTTTCTTTGAAATCTTAGATCTGACCACTTTGGAAAAAGGTCCCTACCCTACCACTGGAAGTAGAGGTCTGGCCTGTTGAGGTGAATAGTTTAAAGAAGGTGTGGAGATCTTCCTAGTGAGAATCAGCATTGTGTTCTGCTTCAGGCAGGGAGCCCTCCAAAGCACATAACTGCTAAATTCAAAAAGTGCTGTGTTACCATCAGAATCCCAGCTTTTGGAGACTGGCGTTCTTGGGACAGAACAGTTATCTTGCTGAAATCTTCTGCCATGTGCCATTCTCATACTGGCCCAGGTCTGCATGTTGGTGGTTCAGAGCTGGCCAGCTGTTTGGTTCTGCCCTTGGATAAATCCTGTGTATCAGGAGTGGCTCAGGGATGCCTGCGGAGATAATTTATGTCTGTTTAGGTGTCCAAATTATGGAGGACGGTCCTTGTCTCCAGTATGGACAGCAGGCAGCTGAGAAGTTTCTATTGCAATGGACATGTGGACGATAGCATAGACAAAGAATAGGAGAAGGCATCCTGTGCTTATCTGATTTTTTTTCTATCTTTTAATATTAATGCCCATAATCTGGTCTACTAGAGACAAATGGATCATCCAGACTAAGTATGTGAAAACTGGCACAAGAGAATATACCGTGCTTTGCAGTAAGAGAAGTTTGCTCTGTTCTTTCTGAAATTATGCTTGACACAGCCTGAAGTTAGGGAGGTGTATGAGAAGCACCTCTTGCGTTGTGAGTGCTCAGAGCCGGGAAGCGAGGCTTTCCCTGCCTGCGGATAGATCGAAGCGTGAGCTGGCAGAAGCACTTATTGTAGTGGACCAGTGGATCTTAAAGAAGGAACTTTTCAGGCAAGTATGAGTATGTTTTCCCGTCTTGTTCTGAGTCACTTGTATTTTGATACTTTTAAAGTTAGACTTGCTAAAGCAGCACAGGAAAAAAAAACCACGCACAGAATGGAAGGGAAATAGACCTGAGCGTCACTTAGTGCAGTCTCTCTACTGGTTCATAACAAGGCATGCTCTAGGTGCTTCAAGGCTTTTGAAGAATTGCAACTTCCAGACCCCAGGTTAAATTAGTAGTATTCCACAATGTTGATTTCTTGTGAGATCTTTTAAGGTCCCTTGCTAAGCGTGAGCACATGGAGATCTCGGAGTGAGATAAATGTGTGATCATATTTCTTCTGCTGCTGTTAAAGGAGAGCTTGTTTTTATTGCTTTGATAACTGCTTTCCATGCTGTTTTTGCTTACAGGTTAGTATTGCTTGCCCAGAAAGGATGGAGCCAATCACAAAGGTGTCTCACATTCCACCGAGTCGATGGGCTCTAGTGTGTAGTTTATGCAAACTGAAAACTGGTGCTTGCATTCAGGTACGTATTTGTCCTCTGGTAACTCTCGAGTCTGCCTGAGAAGGGCAGTTGTGGTTTTGCATTTGGCTCTTCATGTGTTCAGAGATTCTTTACAGTGCAGCTGACCGTTGGACAGATGCCTACTTCTTCATAGCTGTTTGCTATTAAATTAATTCATCAGCCGAGTGATGTAGGAGTTAGTCTGAGTTGCCTTCTCTTGAATAAGGCTGAGCTATGTAAGGACTGCCGCTGTTGAGTCAGAGGTGGATAGAAAGGTTCTTCTGAACGCTGCTGGCAGACGAGAAAATACTAAATTGTGGGTGATACAGAATTGTAAGAGATCAGCAGGTATTTTTAAGAGTGCTTAGGAAATATGTTTTTGTAGGGATGGACTTTCATATAATTAAGATTTTTTTTCTGGTTTGTTGCTACTGTTAGTGATGGAGTGTTTTTGCCTTATTTTGTCTGTAGTGCTCTGTGAAAAGCTGTATCACTGCCTTTCATGTCACCTGTGCCTTTGAGCATAGCTTGGAGATGAAGACTATCCTGGATGATGGGGATGAGGTCAAGTTCAAGTCGTATTGTCTGAAGCACAGCAAGAACAAACAGAATTCGCTGCCTGATATTGACGAGCACCCCAAGAGTGTGCCAGACCAGAAGCAGACAGAGAGCGAGAAAACCAGTTTGCGAGCCCAGAAACTCCGAGAGCTGGAAGAAGAGTTTTACTCACTGGTTAAAGTGGAAGATGTTGCAGCAGAACTGGGCCTTCCTAAACTTGCTGTAGATTTCATCTACAATTACTGGAAATTAAAGCGAAAAAGTAACTTTAACAAACCATTGTTTCCTCCCAAGGAGGATGAAGAGAATGGCTTGGTGCAGCCGAAAGAAGACAGCATTCATACTCGCATGAGGATGTTCATGCATTTGAGGCAGGACCTGGAGAGGGTAAGAGTTTAACTGGTGTAAAGTTTTTTGTAAAACTGTTTGCAGGTGAGCAAGGTCTTTGTTCGTGGGCAGAAGTGGGAACGAGGGAAGCACAGGGAGGTGATTTTTTTTTTTTTTTTAATAGTTATTAAAACCAAGAAAAAGGTAAGGCCTTCAGCTCCAGTGTTTTTGGTGTGCTGCACTGCCTGCTGCAGAGACTTTCAAGAACGTCCCTTCTCAGTCCAGTAGAGAACCAGTGTGAAAGGAGTGCATCCTGGCTTGCTTATAGGTTATCCCTTGATGTATTTTAAGATGCAAGTTTCGAAGGCAAGTGAGTGAAGGCCTAGTTGGTTAACTTCCACAGTGACTTTTTGGCTCCGCACACACAGAAGGATAATGCTGGCCTGTACTCACACCACATCCCATGACATCTGATTCAGGAGTCTTACCCACCTTTATTCCTCGCCAGTGTGCTGGTGTCAGCTGGTCCCAGGTAGCGGGCAGGCCGAATCGCTCCTCGCTCTCTTGACCTGGATACTGTCGCTGCACGTAGCTCCCTCAGGTGTTTTGGCTGGTGAGGGGTCTGAGAGTAGCCCACTGAGTCTTCCATTGCTTGTGGCTTTATTGAGAAGGAGGAAAAGGAAATTATGTTTTTATCAGTAGCTAGCTGGCCTCTTATCAGATTGCCAGCTAGCTGGTTAGTTTGAAAAGATGGGGTCCTTCAGCAAAATTCAGAGCAGGAATTCATTAGGAAGGCATAGTCAGTGCCTTTTTCCAACAGCTGATGGGGGAGGGAGCCAGGCTTGTTACCACTTTGAGGCTGCCCATTAGGTTGCTCTGTTAGCTACTGGTCACCTGCAGTCTTCAAGTGCTTAGAGACAGGTCGTGAATGTAAACAAAACAAAAGCAAACAATATTAACAAAACAAAGTAGGTGTGCTAAACGTGGTAAGGGGATGAGATGTCATGGTCGAGGGGAAGGAAAAACAGAAAAGAGAAAATACTGTTGTAAGAAAAGGGAAAACAATATTGGAGAGAGAAGAGCATGAAAAATACAGGGAGATGAGTGTTGGAGCTGAGGTTTGTGCTTGTCAGTCTAATAGTTGTCTTGAATCTAGACATAATAAAGCTCAGATCTCCTTTTCCAGGAACACTTTGGATATGGATCCTTATTTAAAAGAAAAGAAAAAATACATAACATGCCTCGAATGGAGGGTTGGGATTTTGTGTGAGGATTTCTTTTTTAATTTTTTCTTTTCTTTTTATTTCAAGAAACCATTTTGAGCTTTTTTTTTTTTCCCCTGGACAATTGGTTGATTTGCATCAGATTTTGTTAAAATTGATGTATTTATTTTGAGCGGAGGTACATGACAACCCCCTGCAGCCCTACGGGCTTGGGGACCAGTGGCTGG